CTGCTGCCGCCCTTCGGCTGCGGGCGGGCATGGCCATTCCCGCTGCTCCCGGCGGGCGCCTCGAGGTCCCAGGCCCGGGCGCTGGACTCCGAAGCGGCGGATACCGTCCCAGACATGGTCGCGTCGCAAATACAAATCAGGACGGGGATTTGGGCAATTTTCGGCCTCGGGGGGCCCTCGCCGGGCCTCGGGACCGTCGAACGACGACTCGGGACGAAAAGCCGGTCCCGGGGAAAGGGTCGGGACTTCCCCGCATTGAAAAAATCAGGACGTCGCATGTCTGGGGTCGGACCTGGGCCAGAGGACCGGCCAAAACAAACAGAGCATCCCAGGGTACCCTCCGCAGGACGCACAAGAACATCCAACAGACACGAAGAACGCTAGGGTACCCTCCCCGGGTCGACCTCGATCTTGTACCTCGGTCCGACTGTGGACACAGCCAAAGCGCGCAGTAAGGACGGGTGGCATGGACGCAGGGTTTTTGGAGGTCGAACATCGGATTTGTTTGGGCGGTGGGTGACCCGTGAAAACGGCAAAGGACGGGCCGCGGATGCAAGGACGCAAGGGTAACCTAGATGACGGCGCGCGCCGTTACTGGGCGCGTAGGCTGTACACAACATTCATCGAGTGGAAGACCGATTGCATAATTCATTTACCCCAGAAGTGTGTGTTGTCCGTCGGGTGCACCAGAAATTACGTACAATGGTCGTGGAGCTACGAACCTCATAAGCACTTTCTGTCGCTTCCACGAAACAAACCTTTTCAGGGGGAAACCAACCATGGAGTCGATCTTCTGCTCGAGCTCTGGTGGTGAACTCCTCCTCCTCCTCCTCCTCACTAGCTCTACAGCTGAGAAGGTGCTACCACATTCACATGCAAAGAGGGGGGGAAGGGCCCAGGCCGCGAGACGGGCGACGGGCAGCGCCAAAAACGGGCGCGGGCCGTCAAGGCCCATCGGGGAGGAGCTCATCCTCCTCCACGGAACGGGAGCGGGCCCGCTCTCGGGCCAAACGGCCCAGGGAAATCGCTTCATCCCCCGAGAGGCCGAAAAGGGCCAGCCCACGGACCAGGTCGATCCCAGGGGCCTCGCAGGCTTCGCATCGTGAGACATGACGTGCCAGCGCAGCTTGCCCCGAAGGGGAGGAGGTGAGGAGGGCCCACAACCCTCCCAGCCCCGATGCGCCCAGTCCTTGCCGCTGGCCGTTGCCGCCCTTGCGGGCGGCGTGGCCCGGCGCCAGGACGAGCGGGGGGCCACTCGCTCGTGTGCTCTCTCCCCCCCCCCTGCTCTCTTCTGCTCATCCTGCCCCCTACCGCCCTTTTTTCAATCCGCTGCGGAAGGCCGTGGGGCCACAGGCGGGACAGCCCACGCCTGGGAACGCCTCCACGGCCCAGAAGCATCTTGTGGGGCTCCCAGAGTCCCAGAGATCCGACGTCGTGTTTTGTTCCATGCGCGATCCCAGGAAGCCTCGACCCCTTCCCCGGGACCGGTCTGTCATCCTGAGTCGTTTTTTGACGGCCCCGAGGCCCGGCGAGGGCCCCTGGGGGCCGAAAGTTGCGAAAAACCTCAGTCGTTATGTTTTCAATGCGTTGGATCTCTGGGAACCCTGCTTCGGGGTGCGGGCGGCATGAGACCCCAGCGCGTCCATTGATTTCTGGTGTGGGAACGTCACGCTTCCCGCAGCACAACCGTCGAAACTCAAGAAACCCAGGGCACCCAAGAGGCAAGCAGGGAGTTTCTTGGCACGGGTCTCCACTGTAAGCATAAACTTGTGGCGCTCCGCGCGGATTTCTTGGACCTGCGCTGGGCCCCATATCCCCCCCCGCGCGCGCCCCCTGGCGAGGGCCCCTGGGGGCCGAAAGCTGCGAAGAACCTCCGTCGTGAATTTTTCAATGCGTTGGATCTCTGGGAGCCCTTCTTCGGGGTGCGGGCGGCCACCTTCGCAGCCCCTGCCCCTCCCCCCCCCGCGCGCCGCCCGGCGAGGCGGAGCGCCGCTGCTCGTGGCCCCGCGGCAGACCGCCCGACCGCCCGACCTCCTCCGCCGAGGGGGCGGCAGGGAAGCATGGAGGAGGAGGATGAGGAGGAGGAGGAGGAGGAGGAGGAGGCGGAGGAGGAGGAGGAGGAGGAGGAGGAGGAGGAGGGATGAGGAGGAGGGGTCTTCCCCAAAGACCACACTGAGATCCGACGCTGCGAGATGTTGCACCATCGTGAGCACGCACGACCAGAACCATCATGGTCCCCGTCGTTCTGCTGCAGGTGTCAAGCGGGATCGATCTGTGATGGGCCCGGGGTCGAAGGCCGAAACTGGGCGAAAACGCCCAGTGTGAACAAAATGCCACGGGCACCTCTTGATCGTGAGCCGCTTCTGGGCGGTCCCAGGAGCGCCCCGGGAGCCCGAAAACGGTGAAAACGCCCAAGACCCTCTTCTCTCGTGGCACGCATTCTGCGGCAACTCATGGGAGCCTCCCGTACCTCTTGCGGTTCAACGCGAATCGACGCTAGACCGACGCTAGACCGAGGTTAATCGACGCTGGGTCGACACTAAGTCGGCGCTATCTTATCAAGAGCAAGGGTCTAATCGACGTGCGCTCCAGAAAGATAATTACGAGGCTGCACAAGGCTCTCATCATCTGCCGCCGAACAAGACCCAAACCCCCGACGCCATGACTCTTTCATAACGTCGACCCCCAGAGATCTCGACCCATTCCCCGGGACGGGTTTTCCATACCCGAGTCGATGTTTGACGGTCCAGAGGGCCCGGCGATGGCCCCCAGATGCCGACGACGACGATGATGACGCCGACGCCGACGCCGACGCCGACGCCGCCGACGACGGCGACGACCACGACGACGGCGACGACCACGACGGAACCACGGGGACGACGCCAACGACCACGACGACGACGACCACGACGACGACGACGACGGCGACGACCACGACGACGACGCCGCCGACGACGACGACGCCGAATTTTTGCCCATGCCCCGAAGGGGTCTGGGAAGAGGGAGCCCCACGCCGCTGGGAGCTCTCTTCCCTCGTGCCACGGATTCTTTGATCGGGGATCTTCTGACCCGGGTCAATCCAGACCCGGGTCAGCAGGAAACCAAAAACTGCAATGCAGGAAAACAAAACACTGCAGCGCAGGTCTTCGCAAGCCCGGGTCATCCAATATGCGCGGCCGCCTCGCGGCCAGGAGCGGCTCGCTGACCCGGGTCAGCCAGGGGGGGTCTTCGCAGGATCCTGCAGGATCCGGTGCCCTGGCTGACCCCTGTTTGCATTGACCCCCGTCTCGAGGCTCCCGATTTGAGCAGGGACCGACCGTCCCGGCATTCCTTTAGGCCTACCACGATATGTTCTGAGAACCCACAAATGTTCTGATCACAAAAACAACGGTCTTATAACAAAAGACGGTGTGTTAAAACAAGACAGTCCCAGCCAGAAATGTTCTAAGATCATTTCGTGGAAACCGCAAAAGGTTCTTAGAACACTGTTTGGTAGGCCTATAGACACGCCAGGACGCTTCGCACCCATTGGGCACGCATTCCGCGGCAACTCATTGGGGATCTTCTGACCCAGGTCAATCCAGACCCGGGTCAGTCAGGCCTAGCAAAGTCCTGCAAGATCCTGCAAGATCCTGCGCCCAAACCCGGGTCAACGCGAAGGATCCTGCAAAATCCTGCAGGATCCTGCGCCCAAGCCCGGGCCAATGCGACCCTGGCCCTGCAAGATTCTGCAAACTCCGGCGCTCTGGCTGACCCCCGTTTCCACTGACCCCCGTCCCCAGACCCCCGACGTCATGAATTCTTCATTTCTTCATTACGTCGGCCCTTCCCCGGGACCGGTTTCTCATCCTGAGTTGTTTTCTGACGGTCCCGAGACCCGGCGAGGGCCCCAGGAGGCCGAAAATCAAGAATAACCTCCCGTCATGATTTTTGCATTGCCCGAGGGGGTCTGGGTCTTGAGCCCCGAACTCGGTCCCCTGAAGCCTCGACCCCTTCCCCAGGACCGGTTTTTCATCCTGAGTCGTTTTTTGACTGTCCCGAGGCCCGGCGAGGGCCCCGAAGGGCCGAAATTTGCGAAAAACTTCCGTCGTTTTTTTTAGTACCCCGAGGCATTGCGCATTCTTTGTGGTGGTGGTGGTGGTGGTGGTGGTGGTGGTGGTGGTGGTGGTGGTCATGTGCCGTGCTCAGAGTGCACGGTTTCCCCCGGGGCCGTAGGCGACCCGAGGAGGAGGAGGATCAGGAGGAGGAGGAGGAGGAGGAAGAGGAGGGAGTAGGAGGATCAGGAGGAGGAGGAGAAAGAGGAGGGAGAGGAGGGAGTAGGAGGGGTCTGGCTCTCTTGAGCCCGAACTCGTTGACGCCCCCCCCCCCCCGCCGGGCCTCCTCGCGCGGAGCCCGTCGGCCACGCGGGCGCCGCGGGGGCCGCCCCGCTCGGGCCGGGCGGGCCCCCCGTGCAGCTGAGAGGCCGCGGGCGCCGCCCGCCGCCCATGGTTGGGTCGCGCACGTCCCCCCTGCAGGCGGGTTGAAAGAACGAAAAAATACTCCAGATTTCGTAATAAAAGGGAGGGGGTCTGGACCCTCCAAGACAAGCCATTTCAGACCCCCCCCGTGGGAGAACCCTCCAAAACATCGTCCCCAGACCCCCCCAGGCCCTCCAAGATAGCCTGGAAGAGACCCCCCCCGAAATGAGACCCCCTCCCTTTTATTACGAAATCTGGAGTAAGAAATAGGTCCAAAAATACCGCCCCAAAGAATTCAACATCGCCAAAAACACCCCCCCCGGGCTGGACGATACATAGAACAAATATATCAAAAACTATCCCCCCCCAGACCACGCTTTTTAGAGCGAAAAGTACCACATGGTCAAACATACCCCCCAAAAGAAATTAAAAAATAGTCAAATAACTCGCCCCCGGACTATATTCTTGTTGTACTATTTTCGGAATTCCTCCTGCAGAGGGACAGGCCCGGCTTAAGCCCGGGGGCTCGGGGCGGGCGAAGGAGCTCAGGGACTCGTCGTCGTCGTCGTCGTCGTCGGCGGCGTCGTCGTCGTTGTCGCCGTCGGCGTCGGCGTCGTCGGCGTCGGCGTCGGCGTCGGCGTCGGCGTCGTCGGCGCTGTCGTCATCGTCGTCCTCGTCCTCGTCGTCGTCCCTTGTAGTCGTCGACGTGTTCGTCGTGGTCGTCGTCGTCATTGTCGTCGTCGTCGTTGTCGTCGGCGTCAGCGGCGGCGGCGGCGTCGTCGTCGTCGGCGTCGGCGTCTGAGGGCCATCGCCCGGCCACGGGGTCGACGTTACTATGGAAACGCCATTACGTCGGGGATGCTTCCATCCCGGTCCCTCCGACCCTCCTTCCCTCCCGCCCCCCCCCCTCCCTCGCATCCCTCTCCCCCATCCTCACAGCCCCTCATCCTCCGTCCTCCAACCCCCCTCCTCCGCCCCTCTTTCTCCTCCTCCACCCCTCTTCAGTGCGGGGAGCTCCTCCCTGTGGCCCCCCCTGGACGTGTCGCTGGGGCGGGCTGGGCGTTTCGCCCGAGACACCTTCCAGCTTACGGGTCTCAATCCTGGAATTTGCAACAGCTACACGAATGAAGAGGGGGTCGTTTTCCATGAGGCTGCTCTCGCCTGAGCGCCGCGCGCACTCGCCCCTACATCTTGCAGCAGCCACAAGGATGGAGAGGGCAGCCTTGTGTCAATATGAAGCTCTTACTCCAGATTTCGTAATAAAAGGGAGGGGGTCTGGACCCTCCAAGACAAGCCATTTCAGACCTCCCCCGTGGAAGAACCCTCCAAAACATCGTCCCCAGACCCCCCAGGCCCTCCAAGATAGCCTGGAAGAGACCCCCCCCGAAATGAGACCCCCCTCCCTTTATTACGAAATCTGGAGTACCGTAGCGCGTTCGTCCTTGCAGCAGTTTGCAAGAGTGGCGGTCGATATCTGTTTCACACAGGGGTCTCGCCGTATCGCCGCGCGCGCTCGTCCGAAACAGCCTGGGGCAGCTACAGAGATGGAGTACGGCACCTTTTCCAAAATGGAGCACTACACCCTGCGAAATGCTTAAGACATCATGGGTTAAGAAATTCATAGTCTCAGAACTTGAATAAAACCCCAACATTTCTATTACAATCTTAAGATTTACATTGAAACGTTAAGGATAGTCGAGACTCTGGCCGAAAACTTAAGTTTTATTAAGCATCGCCTAAGGTGTAGCTTGAGTTTTGATGAATCCAGAAACACCAGAGAAGCGAGCAAGTGCAACAGCTGGACGCATCGACGGCGGCTCCTTTTTTCACAAGGGGGATAGTGCTTAAGGCGTCCTCGAAGTGCAGGACCAGAAGCGTAGCCTATTCAGAACGTGGGTTTCGCTGGACACCTATCGGAACTGCATGATGAAACCTTGTCGCATTCCTTTCCGCCCACTTGAAGGACGCAGGGCGTTCCCTTGTCAACGCGGGGCTCCCGCATGAACGGCGCGCCCGTAGGACGCTGGTCTTTCAACGGAGCGCTCCTGGTAGTGAGAAGGAAGGCTTGTAGGGACGTATGAAAAAAAGGGATTTGGGACTGTATGGTGGATTGCAGGATCGTTGATTCATCTTGGGTTTACTCTGGTCCTAGCACCTTACGTCAAGCGCACCACCGCAATCACTAGTTTCAGCAAGTCCTCCTCGCCATGGGTTACCCCTTCAAGGCCTGACACCGCGAACGGGAGTTGCATCCTCTACATGACATCTCGACCCCAGCCGTGACTTCGCACTGGAGTTGCATCCTCTACATGCTGTCCAATGCCCGACAATGCTTTCAGATGTCCCACTTGCTTGAAGGTGTGTGTGTCTGTGTGTGTGTCGTGTGTGTGTGCGTGTGTTTGCAGACGTGCGTGTGCGTGCGTGCGTGCGTGTAGTGCGCGTGCGTGTGTGAAAGCGTGTCTGTGTGTATGTGTGTGTGCGTGTGCGTGCGTGCCTGTGTTTCCCCTTGGCACTGCGCAACTCTTTCGCACGACGAGTCCTGCCCAAAGTCTGGGCCGCTACAATGGCGTGAAGGACTGCATGCTGTTGTGTTTTTGTTTTCCGTTTTCTTCCGTAGCGACGTCATGAGGCAAACGCATGCGCAGCAGCTCTGGCCCTCGCGGGCGGCACAAACGCGTTAAAATGGCAGCATGACTGGGCGAGCAACTTACGCCAGTGTACATGCTTGCCACACGTGCCAATGTGCACGTGTACGTGCTTGTCTCTGCGAATCAACGCGTCTGTAGTATCATGTCGCACTTCGGATCGGACATGCTTGTCGCTGTCGTGATGGCCACCTCTGGGAGACAGTTCCGCCCCGTCTCTTCACTGGGGGACAGAGGCCCCACGAAAACGGGACATTTAAATACGCAACGGCGGCACTGCATTTGCTAGGGCGAAAATCCCACCGCCATCAATCATCGGCATCAACATATCGCACGTCGCCGACTTGCTGGTGGAGGGGATGGCGGGGGGAAGAGAAATTGGAGTCACCTTAGACGTTCCGGGCGTGTCTCGCTGGGTCGGAGGGTCAAGCAGGCATGCCCGAGACTATGGCCTTGAATGTACAGCTGGTGGAGACGCACGTCTTCGCCGATGCTCACCACAGCGTTCCCCGCTCGATCACGCAAGCGAGCTACAGCACGCCTGGGGCACCATCAGAACCGACAGTGCTGTACAGGAGGCGTCTTGCGTTACGGCGGCACCTTCGCTCTCTCTCTATACTTGTCGCAACAACACGGTGCCTGGCCACGGCTGCCGTTCCTCCTCAGACCGTCGGTGGCCCCCCCGTGTTCACTATCGTCAGCCATCGGGTGCGCCCCATCCACGCCCGAGCCTCGGGCGCCGCAGGCGCCCCCCTTGGCTTGAGCCGACACCTGCCCGGGTCGGCGGAGGGTGCGGGTGAGGTAGCTGCCATTTCCCCAGATTCCCTTGACCTCCGCGGTGGCCTGCCCTCCTCGCGCGCGCTTGGCCCCCGTCCCGGAGGGTCGCGCGGGGCCCCGTCGACGCCTGCGACCGCTGCCACCTCGCCGCCGTTGCCAAGTGTTGTCCCTTTGCCAGACGGCTGAGGCGCTCGTCGTCTCGGAACTGAGGGGGCAACCGGGCCCAGACTGCCTGGCGCCGCGGACGTCGGCGCCTGCCCGCCCGAACCCGCGCGGTTTCCGCCAGCAGCGCCATCTTCGGACAGCGCTGCCCAGCCCTGGCGGGCACGTCTGGGGCGGGCCTGGCGCTCTCCGCAGCAGGTCAGCTTGCCCCTGCCTCTCGGAGGTGGACCCCTAGGTGCTGACCAACACTTGCGCTTGAATGCCAGCGTGAAGGCCTTTCTCGCGACCCAAACCCATGCCCACCTGCCCGGGCTGCTTTCGATCAGCTCGAAGCCACGGGTCTCCCCAGCGTTCTCCTGCCGCCCTTGCTCTGGCGACTCGGGCACCCCCGCCCTCGCCGCCCCCGTAGAAGTGCTGCGGCATGCTGGAGGGCCGCCGCATCGCGTGCGCGCGCGGCTGCACCGCGCGCGAACGCCTGCGAGGCCCGCCACGAGGCCAGCGCGCCTCGAGGGGGACGGCCTGCGAGGCGCGCCCAGGCGGACCTCGCCAGAGGCCAGCGTGGCCTCCGCCCCCCGAGCAGCAAGCGGCTGCAAGAGGCGCGATGGCCCGCTGTCCCGACGCGCCGCGACCAGACAGATGCGAGCAGCAGGTGCGGCTTCGAAGAGGGCGCGCCCCCCGTCGAGCGCCCCCCGTCGAGCGCCCCCCACCCTCCCGCCCGCGGCGGAAAGGGGGGGCGCGCGAACGGGCGGGCGCCTTCGCCGCGGGAGGACGCCCACCGGTCGTGCAATCGCGCGCCAAGACCGAGCTGATGCTTTGGAACCGTAGGATCTCACCGCTCTCGCAGGTCAAGACCAAGCACGATGCGAAGCCGCGCTGTTCCTCACAGAAAGGGCACGGCACCGGTTTGGCTGCGACCACGCGGCCGCCCGCGAAGTGGCGCGTGCCGTCGGCCTCCTTGACCAAGGGCGTGACCTTCGTCTCGGGGGTGGTCTCAGAGGCCAAGTGTCCTCCTCGGTCTTCGGACCTCTTGCAACTCGTGCCAATCTGGCGGCCTGGCTCCCGCCCCAGAGGATTGTACGGAACGCAGCAGCGTGCTCCTGACCTGTCTCCACGATCCACCGCCTGGTCCCGGAGGGTCATGCGGAACGCTGCCACGTGCTATCGACCCTCCTCCGCGGTCCGCCGCCTTGGCCCCCTCCACCCTCCTCTTGCTCGACGGCATGGCGGGCGCCAGAGAGGAATGATTTCTCGCTCCGCCTCGGCGCGGCGTTGAGAAGGCAGGCCCGAAAGCCCGAAGAAGCGTATTCAGAAACGGCCAAACGCCTCAGCCCAAATGGACACAGATATCGGGCAGGGAATAAAGAAAAACATTCGTGTTGGCACACTGGGGCGTCCACACACATACACACACAT